GCTCCCAAGGTGCCCCTCCAGGTGCCACAGCTCCTCCCCCCACCAAGAGCAGTCAGTGTGTGCAGAGGTTAGTGTCTCCCCTTGACTGCAGCCAAGCCTCCCATGTAGGCCTGCTGCATGGAAGCCCAGGGAAAGGCAGCGTCCATGCCAAACCCTCTCTGCCCAGGCTGTAATTTCCTGATTAGGCACCGCAGTCACCACCCTTTCTGCACACACTGATTGCTTCCTGCAGTCCTCTCAATCTCTAAGGCTCCCAGGGCTCCCAGGGCCAGCAAACTTCAGGGCCTTAACCAAGCAGTGAGGAGGTGCCAAGCAACTGGCCAACCAGAGCCCATTCGAGCAACTCCTCTCCCTCCTCCCCGTTAGGCTTTGCTCAGTAGGGAATCGTGACTTGACTTTTAAACTTCAAGAAATAACTTTAACAAGAAAGAACAAGTTTGCTATGAGCCAGCAGAGCAGAGGGGTACGTGTGTGGCCTGCATTCAAACATTGACTCTGCCCTTTAGTGCTGATCTTGGCCGTGTCAGCCTCTCTGAATGCCAGCTTCCCCACCTATAAAAAGGGGATAACAATTCTGCAGGAGAGTGTTGCTTGGCATTATAGCAGAGTGGCTAAAGAGCTAGATCACTTGGTTGAAAATTCTATTTCTTGCCCCTTTATTCAACAACTTTGGGTTTATTATATCACCTCTTTCAACCTCAGTTTTGCCAACTGTTTAATGGGAATATGAAAATGCCTGTTTAAGTGATGTTAATGCAACTGAGGTCATATACACAAAATGGAAATGAAAATGCTGGCAAAGCAGAAGGTGGCATTTCCATCGTCAATGAAGAGAACAGGCTATACCTTTGGAGCCCTGGCCTGACCTCAACTTGAGGTCCTCCTCCTCTGGCCCAGCACCAAGCTCTGCAGAGGTCCTTTACCTCAGGCCCTGATCCCAGGAATCAAAGTTGCCCCCAGAAGGGAAAGAGACAGGAGCAATGGCATTCACAGGATACTGGACTGGACTGCAGGTTGGTTTACCTCTGCTGTGAGAACCCCACTGTCCCATTGCCAGCCTACATGGGCCATAACCAGTCCCCAGTTCCCCATTTCAGAACAGGCCTTCCTCTCCCACACCCTGCTTCTATACTTCTTTTTTGAGGCTTCAGTTTCATTTGCAAAAGGTCAGTCACATCTGTTGCCACCACCTTTTGGGACATTGTCACCTAAAGGCCTCTGGTCCAGCTAGGGGCTCAGTGCATGGTTCGTAAAGCCCTTTTAACATTTCCACATTTTAGCCTGGAAGGTCTATGTTACCTAAGGATGGGTGCTGCAGATACAACCCAGGGCCCCATGCATGCTAAGCACATGCTTTACTGCTCAGCCACACCTCCAGATCCCAGGGAGGAGCTTTTATGTAACCTCATTGATATCTTGACTCCATATGGTATAATCTATTAGAAAAGCAACTAAAAGTAATATTTAAATAATTTCAATCAGGGCAGGTGAGGTAGCTCAGTGGACTAAGCACCTGCTTAGGCAAGCACATGGATGAGGTTTGATCCCTGGCACCACATGTTGTGCAGGCCCTGCCCCTAAGCATGCTGAGTCGGCCAAGTGTGGTGGCACATGTCTATAATCCCAGCACTGGAGAGGCTGAAAGCAGGAGGATCACTATGAGTCTGAGCTGTGTAGTGAGACCCTGTACCAAATACATAAAATAATAATAATAATTTCAATCATCATTTACCTTTCCCAGAAAACACCAACAGAGATCCAGTTGTTAGTCCACAGGATGCATGAGGTTTGCCCCTTCTCTCTAGCACAGGTCTTTCAGGCCAGTTTTGTCAGAGCTGCTGTCCAGAAGTCCCAGACATCCAGCTTTTACATCCTCCTCCTGCCCTCCCTTGCCCCAGGTCCTTGTTGGGCAGACTCATCAAGCTACTGGCTTCTCAGCTCTCCCTGCTTCCCCTATTTTCCTGATTCCCCAACATAGAGCAAAACCCAAGAGTTCAGGAAGCAAGAACACCCAGCTCACCCTCCAGTGCCAGTTCTGCGCTGCACCTCACAGGGAAATTACACAAAGCCTTAAAAAAAAACCCAACACAAGGTCGGGGAAGGGGCAGCACAGGACTGATTGGATTCAGAGAAACAATCTTTGGGGAAGGAAGAGTGGGAATATTCATGCATTGATAAATCCTGCTTCATCACATTTATCTTGTTCCCCTATCTTGTGACTAGAATCAGCCACAATCACATCTTCTTTCTGAGCGAGCAGTTTAGGGACTCCAACCATCCCCCAAGAGCTTGCAGAAAATGGAATATGACACCAGGGCCTAGGGCAGAGGCCTGGAATAGGTAGAGACACCACTGAGAGCAAAACCTGACCTGCTTTAAGCCAGGCTGGTTTAGGAACATCCTACATCATCAGCATTTGAGAACATCAGGATGTATGGTTTCCAGTATCTCAGTATTGGGTTTCTAGGAACTATTGGAATAAACAGAAAAACTTGTATTCTCAGTCACTGTCTGCTCTTCCACATTTTAGGGACTGTTCCCCACTGATGGACAATAAGCAGAAGGGGAAAAAAGAGGAGAGGAGGGGGTGAGAAGGGAGGAGAGGGGAGGAAAGAAGTGGGAAGGAGAAGGGAGTGGAAGGGAGGGTAGAGAAGAGAAAGGGAGGGAGGGGGAGGGGAGAAGACTGGTCAATCTCCAAATACCATCAGCCTTAGATTCTAGGTCTTTCCCACAAGAGCCGGGGAAGGGCCTCAGCAAAAACTGAAGACTCAGGGCCAGACTTCCTGCATCCTATGCAGTTTTAAGTATTAGCGAGTAGGCTGGAGAGATGAGCTCTCCACTGAGCACAGCCTTGCTGGACTCCTGGGTTGCAGGCACAGAGGAGGCACTGCTTTTGATAGCCAGGGTGGAGCAAGTAGAGTTGCTTCTACCCCAAGCAACTCATTTGAAGGTTTGGGCCAAGCCTGTTTGAGTTGGTGACAGCCCAAGTGGGAATTCCTATCCCCCAGCATTTGTTCTGCAGGCCAACAGAGCCAAACAGGAATGTTGCTTTGGGACGTTATGCCAAATATGCATTGGTTCTGCTGCCAGTGCTGGGCCAGCCCCATGCACATCACTCCCTTCCAGTGTCTGCTCTCTGTGTACCTTCTTATGACCTTTGAGTTGACTTCCCCGCCCATTTGCCATCCTCTGCTGAGCCTGAGCCCACTGTATCCGGAGGCCCACTCACACTCCCTCTGCAGGTCCATGACCTCTGCTGTGCTCTCAGCTCCAGCCTTTCTTCCCTGCCACCCTGCTGTTGTCCCTCTTAGCTCATGATCAGTACAACCCTTAGAAGTTGTCCCCTGCCAAGATAGAAGGCCAGTCACCAGGAAGCATCAATCGTGAGTTGGCAATGTCTGTTCCACACTTCTACATGTATTCTTCTTGATCTTCGTAGATGGTTGGCTTTATCATCCCATTCCTCAGAGAAAATACCTGAGGCTTCAAAAGACCAAACACAGCTGGTTGTGGTGGCACATGCCAGTAGTCCTGGCACTTGGCAGACTGAGGCAGAAGGACTAACACCAGTTCAAGACAGCCCTGTCTCAAAAAAAAAAAAAAAAAGACCAGACACTTTGCCCAAAATCATCCTATTAAGGAATTCATGGTACTTTCTTCCTTGCCCACCAGAGCAAATTTTAAAATCTTCTATTCACTTCTGGATGTCCAAGGTAATTTCCAGGGTACCCAGTGGGAAAAGGTAGGTGTGGTTTAATGTTCCCAGAGCTCTGTGGCATCCCTAAGGTGGGCATTTGACAGTATCTGCTTTACTCCCGTGCATGAACTGGTGCCATTGTCTTCGCCCTACCTGCCCTCTACCTGGGATGCTCTTATCAGAATACCTTGGAAGCTCATTAGGCAGGCACAAGGTCCTGAGTCTACCCTTTCCCGGGGTGTGGGGGAGGACTGACACCCCAGACACTGGCAGTCCTGCCCTCTGAGAGCCCTCCATCATGGCAGCATGTCTCACACTTAAGAGCAATTGTTTGGAAATGTTTTCACCACTCTGCTGTTGCCCAGACAGTGTGAACAGTAGCAAATGGAAATGACTCAGATATCTTACAAGAAAGGTGCACTCTGTATTCAAACCATTGTCACCTCCTCAGAGAAAATGTCTGGATCACTGACTCTCCTACGTAACTCTGAGTTGGACTCTCCTCCTCTGCCCTGCCCTGCCCTGCCCTGCCCTGCCCTCCCCTCCCCTCCCCTCCCCTCCCCCCGCCTCGCCTCGCCTTGCCTCTCCCAAGTATTTTTTGCTGATCTAACTCCTCATTGTATGCCTGAGGCCTTTCTTTACCCAGCTATGGGTACCAGTCCCCCTCCCAAGCTCTACCCAGAATCCATCTCTTTTTCCATCTGAGGTGACATGACTAAGGTGACAGGCCTCAGCCTATAGCCAGCAGTGGGAACAGAGCAGGCACTGCCAGGGGGCTGAGCTCACTAGTCTGGAGCAAGGGGTGCCAGGTGCTCTGCTCCACTGGGACCGTCAGTGGGCTCTATTGTGGCTGGGCCAAAGTGATTTCAGGGCCTTGGCAGCTCTGGTGCTCATTTGGCCATTAGAATAATGGAGAAAATGGCCTTTAAGTGAAGACTCCTAACTAGCCACAGGAGGGAAACAGTCTAAGGCACCTATTGCTGCTGCTGCTACTGCTGCTGCTGCTGCTGCTGCTGCTGCTGCTGCTGCTGCTGCTGCTGCTGCTGCTACTGCTCTGGAACCAAGCTAGAACCACTGTGGTCCCTGGATGTGGCACCTGGCCAGGCCTTAACCCTCTTCCCCCCCTCCCAATTCCCCTGCTGTGTCACGGGGTTACCTGGGGAACCAGCCTTCATGGTTATTTACCCAGTGCAAACCCCCAAAGACAAGGAAGCACCAAGATCACGGCAACTCTAGAGAGGCCAGCTCCAAATTCCTGTGTTTAATAGAAACTATTAGAGCCTGCAAGGCCCCCAGACCCTGGGCGCCCCCACACTTGCCCATTTATTTCTCATGCATCTTTTCTACAGACTCAGATTTCTTCTCCTGGGCCAAGTCTTTGAGCATCAGGTCCAACACATTCATGGTCTTATGGTACAGCTCTTGAAGCCTGGAAAGCAGAAAAGGAAGACAGGGAGTCTGAGGATGGGGTGGGCTTCATGCCCCCTTAGCTGGAACCTTTCACATACTTGCAGCTCTACATTCACCACACTTGGCAAGTGTGGAGTCAGGGACAAACAAGGACTTCAGAACCAGGCCAGGTGGGCTGGATTCCAGGTCTTCCAACATGCCCAGGCCCTCCTACAGTAAGTTATTTCACTGCATTCAACAGGTTGGAGAGCAACTATTGACCTGTAAGAGCAGGAACTGTGTGGGGGTCCCCAGATAATAACTTGCCCACTTGAGCTAAAAGTACGCATTCCCTGACCCCTTCTTTTTAGTGTCTCCAGTCTCTGAAGCCCTCTCGGGTCTTTCATTGAGAACCCAGGTGAGCTATGTCCTTGCTCCACAGCCCACAGGCTCCCTCATTCCCAGAGACACTCTGCTGGGTTTTTACCTTCCAGCTTAGTAATGGTCATTTATAATCCCAGCTAGTTACCTTGAGCACAAACCCTGGGCTGGGCCAGGCTCAGTGCTTCACATAGATTGTCACTTAATCAGCCTGCCACCTCCTTGTGTGACAGGTGGGAAAGGGACAGAGATTTGCACAAGGCCACACAGGACAGTAGTAGGAGAATAAGGCCCAAAGTCTCAGCTTCATTCTTTCCTCCCAGTACAGTTTCTCTACCCCCTAGAGAGTGAGGAAGGGCCTGGAAGGTCAAATGAGCCAACATCTGACAAAGTCACTCAGGGATAGGGAAGGGAAGGGGGTACAGATTCCTGCGAGCCACAGTGTCTCCATTTGGCAGCACACATGGAACCCCTCACCATCACCTCAAAGGCCTTGGTCCACCCACCTATTCCCTGTACCAGTCAACAACCCCTCACCCTACTGGCATCCTCAATGTAGCCCAAACTCAAGGCAGCCCTGGGAACCAGGGAATGTTGGGATAGGGACTAACTGTTTGACAGTGGCATCCTGTTTGTCCAAAATGGACAAGTATACGTCGATGAAGAGCAGACTGGTGCCAAAATCACCCAAGACCATGGGCCGAGTGTCCACCGGGGCATTCTGGAACTTCTCTATCAAGTCACTGAGAGTCTTTCCAACAGTGTCAGTTTTCTAGAGAGGTGAATAAAGAGAAAGCAATGACAGAAAGGTGACAACTAAGTCACACAGAGATCTGGGAACCCTCCAAAAGAGACAGCAGGCAGAATCCTGTACCTAACCCCAGGGTGAGCCTTAAGCCTAGCCACAAGGTCATCCTGACCCCTTTGAGCTGGGCCTCTTGTGGATGAGGTAGCCTCATAAGCCACCATCACTGATGGAGGTCAGAGACACACAAAGTAACCAGTGAGAGTTCCAGTGTGACCTAGGGTGGCCTCCCCAGCTCTGGAGAGCCTTTGGGCACAATCTAGATAGACAGATGTCTTCACCCCCAGAGAAGAGGCTGAAGAGGAACATAATAATAAAGAGCCCCCAAAGGCATCCAAAGCTGGGCCAAAAGCACTTAGGCAGAAAAGTAAGCCAGGAGCCCAGCATACACAATTGTCATGCTTAGAAGAAAACCACCTATACGCTCACTCTTGCTCTGTTTTGTTATTTTTGTTTTGTTTTGCTTTGTTGGGTTTGTTTCTGTTTTTACTTTTGTTTTCTGGTATGGGGAATCAAACTCAGGACTTTATGCTTGCCAAGAGGTGCTGCAATGCTGAACTATAACCCTGGCCCTTTGTCTTGACTTTTTAAAGACAAGTTCTTACTATGTAGTTCAGGCTGTCTTTGAACTCACTATGTAGCCCAGACTGGCCTTCAACTCCACAATCCTCCTGCCTCAGCCTCCAGAGTGCTGGGATTATAAGCATTGTACCACCATACCCAGCTTTTCCTATGGTTTTTTAAGTGTGAAAAAACTGAGATTGAGGGGAACCTGAAAAAGCCACTTCTGTTAGCTCTGACTCTGTCCACTGCCTGCCTGTGGGGCCACCTACCTGCATCAGCATCTGCCTGTTGACCTCCTCCTGTTGTCGCTTCAGGATCATCTGCTTCTTCTCCTCCAAGCGCTTCTCCAGTATCTGGTCTTGCTCAAATTTCTTGATGGAGACCTAGTCATCAGTGGAGGGGCAGGCTCTTGATATGTACTCTCCCCTCTCCTGCCTCACCTTGCCCTACCACTTAGGCCCTCAGCAGGAGGGCATGCCCCATACAGAACCAGCCCCCAACTCAAGCTGCTGCAGCATCTTAGCAAGCCCTATGATGAAGGTCTCATCAGCCACCATCATAAAGCAAGACAAACGCATGCACTCAGGAAGGGCTCACCTCACCACATCCACTCCACTTCCAGAGGGAGACACCTCTCTGGGTTCTTCATGACATCTGGTCCTCACCACCACCTGCCATATCTGACCTGATTCCCTCTCCCTGCAAGCATGGCCTTACCTCGGTTGGCATGATTATCACACCCACGAACACGCTGAGGAAGATGAAGGAGGCAATCAAGATGAAAATGATGGTGAATGCTCGGCTCACAATAAAATTGTGCTTTTCCAGCTGCATCTGTATATTTGTCCAGCCTTCAACCTGGTCAGGCGGAGCAGGGTATCCTGAGTGCCAAGGCCTAACCAAGTAGAACCCTACCTCACCTATGCTAGGGAAGCCCCAGCCCCATGAGGATCAGACTGTCTCCGCCTCTGCATCAGCCTTTCGATATCTCCTATCTGATGGCCTGGAAATGCATGGCAGTACTGGGTGGGGGCCAACTTACCCTGGGGTCTCTCCTCTTAAAGCCTCCCGTTTTCTCTGAAAGGACACTGCCTCTTGCCAAACCCACCTTTGAAAAAAGTTTACTTTTTTTTTTTTTTTTTTTTTTGAGACAGTGTCTCCCTATGTAGTCTCTTTTAGAGTCCAACAGAGCCTAGACTTGAGTCTGTACCATGCTCATTCTGAGCAATTTGGTATACTCTGTATCTAAAAAGGTAATATAATGTGGATTTCATTTTTAATTTTATCCACATTGACAAGTTTTATGACCCTGTGGCACATGTGAGAATGGTCTAGAGATTAGAGAGGAAGGTGAGTGCTCACCCGGCAAGCACAAGGACCTGAGTTCAATACCCAGTACCAAAAAAATAAATAAATAAAGAGGAAGGTGAATCCCTCTCCAGGCCACCAGCCTCTGACTAGTACTAGGACACCAACATCCAAATTCCCAGGATCCAATTAAGTACTTGAACATGGGAAAGGCCCCACATGAGGCCTAGCCTGCCCACAAGTTCATACCACCCAGGAAGTCCCTTCTGAAGATCCCTGCCTTCACTACTGTTCCCAAACACCGTACCGTGGCCAAGCTGAAGAGGGTGAAGAAAATTGTATCGAGGCTCCCCCAGGTCATGTCGTCCCTCTCTAGAACTCCAAACAGGTAGAAGCCCAAGATAGCGAAGATGTACAACAGGATGAAGAAGAGGATGAGCACAGAGGCCACAGTGTAGACTATCTGCCTCTCCGCAGTGAGGAGTGTCTGTGAGGCAGGGAGATGGCACCTGAGTCCGGGCACCTGGCTGGGTGGGCTCAGAGCACAGCTGTCCTGAGCATCTGGTGCCATGTCTGGCACTTGTTACATTAACAGTCAGTTGAATGAACCAATGAAGTGCATCAGAACTATATCCAGAGAGAGGGTTACACCACTCAACAATGGTTTACCACTGTCTGGCATCCATCCTCAGCTACCATGGGCAGCTGGACCACACCATCTCAGGTCTGGATGGCATCCTTATTATCATCACTAAGCACTGTGGCTCCTGTGGGTCACCCCAGATGTCTTGTCCTTGCTTATCAGAGAAGGTCCTGAGTGCTCCTTGCCCCAGTGCAGGAAGAGCACAGGAGCTACCCTGAGAGTACAAACAGAGAGGGCAGGAGAACAACGGCTCCCCAATTTCTTCCAGGCCCAACCTTCACAGCAGTCTTGTGATCTCTATCTTCCCTCATTACATAGACAATTAGCCTGTCTCCCTCTATGTCACCTAGTCCAAGGGAGCACAGTGCATGGCTCCTCATTCATTCTCTCTGCCCTGGAAGCCGACTTGGGCTTGAGGCTGCATTCTCCTACCTAGAATGTTTTCACAGGCATACCTTCAGGGTAGGTAGGGATTACTAGGATGAAGGGTCAGAGGCTCAGAGGAGCAAACTGCTTTAGTCAGAGTTATACTCCAAAACAATGGCAGAGCTGAGACTAATTCCCAAGCCCTTTGCCCCATCACCAAGCACTAATGACCCTGGATATAATGATGCTTTCCTAGCCAAGCACTGAGGAAGCAGATACTTGGGTCTATTCACAAGATGGTACAATCTGAACATGTTGGGGTACTCCAGGAGGCAGGACAACCCCAAAATACCAGGCCGTCCTGTATGTGGACTGCTGCCAACAGGGGTGAGTGTGTGTTCATGATGCCTTCATTGGCCTAGGGGAAGAAAATCAATCAATCTCTTTTCAGATTAATTCCAAAAGTTGAGATGGAAAAAAGGGTGTCTTTCTCTCCCCCCTCCCATAATTTTATTGAGAAACAAATAGCAATGAGACAGTTTCAAACCAAATTGGTAGGACAGTTTCAATAATTAACACATTGCATACATTCTTCCTAGTGGTTAATTGCTGTACAAGATGCAGACATGATATCCTATTTACAAACACTATTAGAATAAATCCCTCTATTCATTAAGAGAATGTAACTATATATCTATTCTAATCATTTTGAAAACACAGATACAAAATGGACATTCATCTGTATCCCCTTTTTTTATTTAGTTCCTTTATTTGAATATTACAGGTGTGTTAACTCAGCAAAATATTCTAAAAGAGTCCAGTAGTCCATAAAAGTATTGGGTCTTCTGCTTGACTGGCAATGTCAGAAATTGTTGATCTGAGTCCCCTACTGCTCAACATAACACCATGGCTTTACTTCTTATACTTTGTTTTTATACTTTTCTGCTGGATGGTTAAGACCAAGATAAAGCAAGACCTATGCAACAAGAGTTGTAGTTTTTGGGTCTGATAAGGTCAGTGAAATCCCCTCAGGATTTATCCTGAGATCCTGTACCTTGGATTGTAGATCCTTTGTCAGTGTCAGCCATGTGGATGAGTCACGGCCATTGTGCTCTCTGTGAAAGCCTGAGAGAATGTTTTCTCTCCATGTGACTCTCCTTAGGCACACTCTACATCATCGATCACTTTCCTCTTTGGCCCCATAATCTCCTTGATCAGAAAATTTGGGACACTTCTGAGTTACATGATGTTATAGTACAGGTTCTCATATGTCCTGAGTCTTAATTGACCTTGGAAGGCTAGGGCCAAAATGTTGGCTTTCCTTGCGGCCCTCCTTTTTTTTTTTTTTTTTTTTTTTGCAGGACCAGGAATTGAACTCAGGCCCTTGTGCTTGCCAGGGAAGCGCTTATTCCACTGAGCCATCTCCCCAGCCCCAAGGGTGTCTTTCTCTCTATGTTAGACAAGGATAAAATTTCTCTCCAAAGGACTCAAGCAGTAAAGCCCCCGTGAGAAAAGCTGCACTGGGATACAGTCCGCACTTCAGGTCTGCACAGCAAAAGTATAAGTCAAGGTAAGAGCCTGAAGCACATACAGAAAGAAGTGGGGAAGGGTAGGCTGGGACTTTAGGCCAGCTCACGGGGGTCAGTGCTACCTGAGGTAAGAGCCAAGAGCCTCCAGAGTGTCAGTGGGAGAGAGGTCACACTCCTGCAGGACCCTGAGAGATGTTCACGGTCCTCCCAGCACATCAAGGCAGCCTCCATCAGTGCACAGCTCAGAAAGATGCAGAAATCCAGCTCCAGGAATGACCCTCCAGAGTGCTTTTCCCTTTTCTACCCTGGCCCCAAGTAGATGCCTAGTTCTTTTTTTTTTTTTTTTTTTCTATTTTAAGACAGGGCCTACAGGGTCTCACTGCATAGATCAGACTCATAGTGATCCTCCTGTTTACAGCCTCCCAAGTGCTGGAATTACAGTCGCGCCCCTCCATGCTCAGTCAGTCTCAATCACAGTCTCAATGCACCCCTGGGGGCAGGGCTGGAACAGCAGGCCTGGGGATCAAACTCCTGGCCCCTGTGTCTGCCTAAAAGGTGTTTTAATCTGCTGAGCTATTTGGCTGGCCCCTAGATGCCTAGTTCTGAATTCTCAAATATTTTGAAGAAATTCCCAGTACTTAGCTCAGCTCCCTTGGCCTCTCCTTTTCCACCCTGGAACATTCTGGGAATGGAAAAGGACCTCTAAACATGCCAAGGGGCCAAGGTCAGGTCTTTGAGGAAGCCCTCCTAAGCAGCTTCTACAGAAAGTGATGGGGCCCCAGGAGGAAGAGGCAGAGAGAGAGGAGATGGAGACAGGAGGAGGCAGGGAGACAGGGGGCACTGTTGTTCACAGGCCAGCATTGCAGACGGTGGCCAGGCTGAACACAGATGACCAGGAGCAGTGTGGGCCCTAGGTGCCCAGCCCCTAGGTGCGCAGCTATCAGAACTTCTCTATATGAAAAACAAGGTACTATTTCTTTGTAGAGCAGGCTTATTGCTACTAGTGGAAGGCAGGGTGTCATTTTCATGAATCAAGGGTCAAGAACCAATGTACTAGGATGCTAGCTCTGGGCACTGACATTGGAGCTCTGTTACAGCTCCTTTAGGCTTCAGTGGACATATATCAGCACAGAGTTGTTAGGCCCCATTTTCGGCAGCTCTAGTTTCCCTTGTCCAGCAAGCAAGGCCAGTACACCAAGGCCACATAGTCTAGGGTCACTTCTGCACTCCTGAAGATCCAGGAGCTCATATCCCAAATGCTACAGACAGCCACAGCCAGGACAGCTGAAGATCCCCAGGGAACCACTTTGGGATACAAGGTTCTGTTTAATGACAACAAACTCTGAGACCAAACCTGGGGCACAAGTTTGTGCTTATATTGCATCCGCTTGCTCACAGCTCTCTGTGAGGACCAAGGCTAAACAGAAGCTTGAAGTCACCAAGAAGGCCTGGCTTGCTCTGGGATGTAGCTCTGTGATACCCAAGGTGGGAGGGATGGTCTCTCTTTCAGGCCCTCAGCCCCAGGCACCTCTGGCTTTAGTCTTCTGACCAGGCCCCCACAACACAACCAAGACCGGTGCCCGTGGCAAGCAGTTAGTGTCCCCAGCCTCACAAGGTACCAAGCAGGGTCACTCCCCCTTGCTTCCAAGAGACCAGGATCCTCCCTGCCACCAGTCCTTCCTGCTTTCCTCCTCTTAGAGCTGCTCTGGGCTCCCCCTTCCCTAGGCCAGAGCCCACTGCCCCTCTCCTCTTCTCACATGACTCCCACAGGTATCCGGTACCTTCCTCCCATGGTGCCCTCTCTCCTGGCCTCTCATAAAAGTTCTTTCTTATCCAAGGGCTCATGCCCATGCAGTCTTCTCCAGAGAGGCTACCAATCTTTCACTCACCTCAGATGGGAGTGTGTGCTCTCTCTTGTCCTTGGAACCCCTCCCTTCATGGGCAAAGTCCCTGCTAGTCCTGTCCTAGAACCTTCTAAGCCAAGACAAGGCTAGTCACTGTGTCCTCAAAAATCCAGAAAGATTTCTGTGTGGGAGCGGTATTTCAGAGCTACCTTAAAGTGAGGGGACTCACTTTGTTCCCACAGAAAGGAGCAGCAGGCTATTAGCCACTGGGAGAAGCAGTGAGTGCCCATGGCTGCCAAAAAGCTGGAGACTTCTGGGCATGCAGTATAAGCGATCTGTACCATCAGATACCAATTACCGTGAAGCAGGAAAAGAAATGTTCAGATGGCCTCTGCCATCAGACACAAATCTCAGCCTTGACATTTAATTGCTGAGTGACCTTAGGCCTCAATTTATTCATGTGTAAAATGAAACCAATAATGACTTTCTTACCATTGTTTTAAGATTGGTTGAGATACTACCAATATAGATCAACTGTCACACAGTAGGACTTACCGACATTAAGACAGCAATCAAGTACTATTTCCTGGGCAGGTGTGGTTTATGGCCTTCCCCCCCCAGCTCCATGGCATTCCCAGGCCACTCACTCTGATGGCTTTGCTATAGGTGATAAACTTGAGGATGCGGATAGATTGTAGGCCTTCGGCAATGTTGAGGTAGCGGAAGTGTTTACCCTTCACCTCACGGAGCACGTAGGGGATGAAGATAATGACGATGATGACCGCATCCAGAAGGTTATAGCTGTCTTTCCAGTAGTTGATAGGGTCCACATAAACCTTCATGAAGAATTCAGAGGTGTAGATGGCCACAAAGACCACCTCTGAGATCTGCAAGAGTGGCAAGGTTTGGAGAGGTCAGACCAAAATGCAGAGCCTTGGAATCCTGCGCCTCCCTGCTGAGGCCACCCAATCAGATGTGGGGAAGGGTAGCCCCTAAACTACTGTTCTGGTTTGAATCCAAAATGTCCCCCCAAAAGGCTTATTGTGTTGAAAGCTTGGCTGCTAGCTGATGGGCTTTGGGGAAGTGACCAAATGACTAGAGCTCAAACTTAATTAAACAGACTAATGCACTGGTGAGTTCATTTGCTGCACAGGCCATGGGGAAGTGTGGCCCAGCTAGAGGAGTCAGGTCATGAAGGGATGCACTTGCAGCATCTGACTTTTACCAGCACCTCCCTTGCAGCTCTCTATCTGAGTAGATCTGCCTTTCTAGGTACTCCCCACCATGATGTTCTGCCTACAGGCTGACAGTAATGGCCCAGGGGACCAGGAACTGGAACCTCTGAAACTGTGTGTCAGAATAAATCTTTCCTCCTTTCCACTGACTTTCTTAGGAATTTTGTTAAGGCTGACTTACACAGTCACTCAGGTGTTCAGAAACGGAAGCAGAGCTCCTGGTACACAGGGGACTCGCAATGTGCGTGACTCCTTTCCCCTTCTGCGTCTTTCCCACCTGTTTCTCCAAATCTGGGGCAAAGCTTGAACCCAGGCTGACTGAAGGAAAGGCCATGCAGGCCCAGTCAAGGTTCAACATGCTCAGCAACGTAAATATAAGGATTCCCGAGCAAAGATCCCAGGAGGTTTCTGGCTACCCTAGATATACAAATGTTTTGGAATATACATGAAATATGTAAATATCATCATAATTAATTTAATCATGCATATTTAAATCAGTTAACGAAAGTTATCTGTTTCTGAAAACTATTCTGCTCATTATTTCACTTTTACACTCTTTGAACAAATTTTCTTCAAATTCTTCTCACCCATGTATACAACTCCAATAGCTTTCTTGTTACCAACAGGCCCTTTTTGAGGCAATAAGATTTTCATCATCTAATTTTTTTCAGTGTTTATCTTTTTATTAGTACATTTGTACATTACATAATGATCTCACTCCTTGTAGGGAGCTGGTCCATGTACAGAGCAGATCTTGGTTCTGTGACCACCTCTTTCCCTTTCCCTCTCCTTCATGTCTTGATCCCCTTCCCTTTTGCAAAAAGGTCTAGCTCCCTGTTTCATGTTAGCTTTTACTTTGCTACTTATGTTCTGAATTTCTCAAAAAGGAGCTACTCTTGCCCACATCTTGCCCCACATCACAGAAACCATGTACATTTAAGTTTGTGTGTCTGATTTACTTCCCTTAACATTATGGCCTCAAGGTGCATCCACTTCCCCACAGATAGCTCAAGCCGATCCTTCCTTGTGGCAGAGTAGTCTTCATTGTGTACAAATGCCACATTTCCTTTAACCACTCATCTGTTGAAGGCCTATAGGCTGCTATCAACATGTAGCTATTATAAATTGTGCTAATATAAATACAGGCATGTGGGGCCAGCAAGATAGCTCAGTGGGGCCAGCGAGATGACTCAGTGGTCTAAAGTGCCTGCTTAGGCAAACTTAGGCAGGCCCAGGGGACCATGGTTTGATCCCCAGCACCACATACCACACCAGCTCCACCCTCAGGGTGGCCTGAGCCAACCAAGAAATAAATAAATAAAGGCATGCATGTATCAATGTAGCATGACATCTTCAATATTTTCAGGAAGATATCTAGAAAAGGAATAGCTGGGTCAAATGGAATCTAGTTTCAATTTTTTGAAGACTCTCCATACTGATTTCCATAGTGGCTATACTAGTTTACTAACAATATAGAAGTATTCTCTTCCCCTGACACACAGCCACTCCAGCATCCCTTATTATTTGATTTCTTTATGACAGACATTCTTTGGGGATAAGGTAGAATCAGGGCAGAAGGGATAACTCAGTGGAATAAGTGCTTGCCAAGCAAGCACAAGGTCATGAGTTACATTCCTGGTCCCACCAAATTAAAAAAAAAAGATGGAATCAGAGTATTGTTTTAATTTGCATTTCTCTAATTGTCAGTGATGTTGAGCATTTCCTTTTTTAATTTTAATTTTATTGAGAAACAAATATGAATGAGACAGTTTCAAAGCTGATTAATAGGATAGTTTCAATAATCAATACATTGTACATTGTTATTTTCGTAGTGGTTATCCATAGTACAAGAAGCAGACAGGATATCCTGTCCAAACACTATTAGTACACCTCTTTCTTCTCATTGAATTAAGCGAAAGTAGCTGTATATCTATCCTAACCATTTTGTATACATAAATACAAAATGATCTTTCCTTTGTATCCCCTTTTTTTTGTTTAGTCCTGTCAGAGGTGGGTATTCTATTGGCATCTAAATACTATAGGTGTTTGAATTCAGCAAAACAATCCAACACTGTTTAGCAGTCTATAATATTAGTGGGTTATCCTCAAAAATTATTGACTTGAGCCTTTTATAGCTCATGGTATTAATATGGTTTTACTTTATATACCTCACTTTTATACTTTTCTGCTGGAAGGTTAAACCCAAGATAAAGTAAGACCTATATAACAAGAAACGTAACTTTTGTATCTGATAAGGTCAGTCAAGTACCCTCAGGATTTATCCTGTAGCCCTGTATTGCACTTTGTAGAACCTTTGTCAGTGTCAGCCATGAGGATGAGTCACGGCCATTGCTTGACCAATTTGCTCTCTGTGTGTTGATTTTGTATTCTGCTACAATTCTGAATTTGACTAGGTATTCTAGAAGTCTTTTGGGGAAATTTTTGGGATCTTCTATACAGAAGATCATGTCATCTTCAAATAATGAAAATTTGAGGAGTGAGTAGAGGTTTGGTTAGGTCTCCTAATCCGCCGCCATCCGCGATCGAGCATCTCCCCCCACGGCAATGGGCAAGTTCATGAAACCGGGGAAAGTGGTGCTGGTCCTTGCAGGACACTACGCCCGACGCAAAGCCGTCATCGTGAAGAACATTGACGACGGCTCCTCTGACCGCCCCTACAGCCATGCCCTGGTGGCCGGGATTGACCACTACCCCCGCAAAGTGACAGCCACCATGGGCAAGAAGAAAATCGCCAAGAGGTCGAAGATCAAGTCCTTTGTGAAGGTGTATAACTACAACCACCTCATGCCCACAAGGTACTCCGTGGACATCCCCCTGGACAAGACCGTGGTCAACAAGGACGTCTTCAGGGACCCAGCCCTCAAGCGCAAGGCCCGCGGGAGGCGAAGGTCAAGTTCCAGGAGAGATACAAGACAGGTAAGAACAAGTGGTTCTTCCAGAAGCTATGGTTTTAGGTATTTTTTGTTTCTATCATTAAAAAAATAAAATAAGAAAAGAAAATTTGACTTCTCCCTTTCTTATACATTTCTTTTTTATTTTTCTTGCCTAATCGATCTTGCTAATATTTCACAGAACTAGCAAGAATGGACATCCTTTCTTGCTACTAATTTTATTTTATTTTATGTATTTGGCACAGGGTCTCACTACACAGCTCAGACTCATAGTGATCCTCCTGTTTTCAGCCTCCCCAGTGCTGGGATTATAGGCATGCACCGCCACACCCGGTCTCAATGGCCAGCTCAGTGTGCCCAGGGTCAGGGCTGACATGGCATGTGGTGCAGGGGATCAAACCCCAGGCTCTGTGCTTGCCTAAGCAGGTGCTACTAATTTTAGAGGAAAAACTAGTCTTCCCCCATTTATGGTAAAATGTTGGCAATAGGTTTATCATAAATGGCTTTTTATCACATTGAGATAAGGTTGTTAGTGTCTATTTTCTCTGATGTTTTTATAAAGGAAGGATGTTGACTTTGTCAAAGGCTTTATCTGCATTTATTAGGCTTATCATGTGATTTTTGTTCTTGCTTCTGTTTATTTGACTGATTTGTGCATGTTCAACCATCCTTGCATTCCTGGAATGAAACCTACATGGCATGATTCATCGATGATTCATTGCATTCTACTTGCCAAATCTTGTTAAGGAATTTTATGTCTCTATTTATTAAAGAGATTGATCTATAGTTCACTTTTCTGTTTGGATCCCTGCCAGGTTTTGGAATCAGGTTACAGGTATCTTTCAGGCATGACCTTGGAGTACTCCTTCCCTCTCAATTTCACTATAAATTTGAGGAGTACTGGAGTTAGAAATTCCATTTTATAGAATTAAGCAGTGAAACTGTCCAGACCTAAGCTTTTCTTGGTAGATTTATTACTGCTTCAATTTGATTAACTGTTATTGTTCAAGGTTTTTAATCTTCTTGGTTCAATTTTGGTAATTCATATGTATCTAGGAATCTATAGATTTCTTCTGAAATCTCAAATTTGTTGGTATACCAGCTGAGAATTTTTTTTAAATTTTGTCAGTACCCATTGTGATTTCATGTTTTTCATTTCTAACTGCATTGATTTGGAATTCTCTCTCTCCCTCCTTTTCTCTCTCTCCCTCCCTCCCTCCCTCCTTTCCTCTCTCTCCATCCTTTTCTCTCTCCCTCCCTTTCTCTCTCTCCCTCCCTCTCTCTCTTTCTCCCTCCCTCCCTCCACTGTTTGTGGAGTTGTTTGTTTGTTTGTTTTGTTAGATGAGCTATATATTTCATGTGTGTATCATGTATAAATTTCACTGGATTCTGTTTCTTGATCCATTCTCTCAGTTTGTCTCTTTTGATTAGAGAATTGAGATCATTTACCTTGAGAGTTAATCCTGGCAGGTATTGACCTATTTGTATCATTGCCTTATTTTGCTATTGTTTATTGCCTATTTTTCTCTTCTACTTCACTGCTCAGCCTACCTAGTATATTTATTCTATTAGGTCTTTTTGCCATGGTTAGCTTCACTGTCTCTTTCTAGGGTATTCTTGAGAAATTTTTTGGAGTGATGGTTTGGTGGTCTTGCTTTATTTTGTTTTATTTGTTGATTTTTTGTTTTTGAGACAGAATCTCATGGTGTAGTCCAGGCAGGCCTTGAACTCATAGTGATACTCCTGCCTCATCCTCTTGAGTGTTAGAACTACCACAACTGGCATGAATTTTTCTAGGTGGTCTTTATCATCAAAATATTTTATTTCTTCATCATTTTTTTTTTGAGACAGAGTCTTTCCATGTAGCTCAGGCTTCCTTCCTAATGTGTAGTAGGGACAGTTTGACCTGCAGACTCATGGTGACTATTGCTTATTCCAGAGGCCTCCACAGAGAAATGTACCAGTGGAATGGAGCCATAGATGCAGTGGACTGCAGTGGCGGGTGAGTTATTTGGGTTCAGACATCTCCCACAAGAGGTCAATTGGTCAGTAGTCACCTTGGAGAGAGGCCAGCTTGGAATTCAGAGCAGTTTCATGCTAGTTCCATCACTGTCAGGGGAGTTGGAATTGAGTTCAAGTTGGGCAGGAAATCACAGAGCTATGTTCAAGTTGGCAAGAGGTACATGGAGTGTTGCAAGCTGAACAAACTGGATTCCAGTCTCACAACCAGACCAGGCTGAAGATTAGTGGAGCTCCAGGTGGAGTCTGGCTGGGATTGTCCACTACCCCTCCATAAATTTATGGCTGTCTTGCTGAGATTAATGAACACAGATGTGGGGTCTGTCTGCCCATTCTGTTTACCAGTGATAAAGTGAACTTTTTCTTCTTCCTTTTATTTTGTTTTGATATGTTTTCTTTTATT